AGTCGCTCCAGATGGCAGCCGAGCATGCAGACCCACATCAGTCTGCGGGCCCACGGCCCATGCAAGGGTCTAGGAGTCTAGGGGGTAGGTAGGATGGGTCTAGGTCCTATAGGCTTTAGGTTGAAGGGCTGTATAGGATAGGATCCCCCCCCATTTTCCTTAAGCCCTAATCCCGGAATGAATTTGGGGTACCCTAGTCCAATCGGGGTTGGGTCTCGAGGATCCTAGGCTTTAGGGGCGAAGGGCTGTATAGGATAGGATCCCCCACCCCCCCATTTTCCTTAAGCCCTAATCCCGAATCGAATTTGGGGTGCCCTAGTCCAATTGGGGTTGGGTCTAGGGGATAGGTAGGATAGGTCTAAGTCCTAGGCTTTAGGCGCGAAGGGCTGTAATATAGGATCCCCCCCATTTTCCTTAAGCCCTAATCCCGAATCGAATTTGGGGTACCCTAGTCCCATTGGGGTAATATATTAAGCCCAAGCCCTAACCCCGGCCCAAGGGTCTAGGGGATAGGTAGGATAGGTCTAGGTCCTAGGCTTTAGGCGCGAAGGGCTGTAATATAGGATCCCCCCCATTTTCCTTAAGCCCTAATCCCGAATCGAATTTGGGGTACCCTAGTCCCATTGGGGTTGTCTTAAGCCCTAAGCCCTAACCCATATATATATATATATATATATATATATATTAATCGCGGCGGACCCCAACCCGACTTATTCAAAATCCCGGCCCTTGCCCGGCTCCAATCTAAACCCTCAATCCCAAACCCGACCCCCCCACTCACTATGAAATCCCAAATATTCCAGCTTAAGCCCAAATGCAGAACCCTAAATCCCAAACCCAACCCTAGACCCTAGATCCTTAACAACCAGGCCTGAGGCCCAGCCCCAAGCCCAAATCCCGAACCCATAGTATCGGCCTTTTTGCCAATCCTTAAATCCCAAACCCAACCCTAAAGCCCACATCCTTAAAGCACGGGCCCGAGGCCCAACCCTAAACCCCATGTCCCGAATAACCCTATAGCCGCGGATCGACATAAAACTACATAATAATATAGTAAATATATTAGAGCCCAGATCCAGATATCGCAGGTGCATCTTCGTTGGCGGCTGGCTTGCGGCGCGGATGCGGCTGCCTCGTGGCCAAGGCCGCTTCAACCCATAATATATATAAGACCCTAATAATTATTCCCTGCCCTATATATTATAGAATTAGGGTTTAGGCTGTCGGGTTAAGGTTTCAGAATTTCGGATGTCGGGTGTGCATAGGGATTTGTTTCAGCTTCTATTCGGGATCAGGGGTGAGGGTCTTGTTTTGGAGTCATTTGGGTTTATAATAGGCCGGTCATTAGTGTAAAATCCCTAAGCCCAAAACCCTAATGCATTGGCTCGAAAACCTCGGCGTTGGGGGGTTCGGTGCATCGCTGGGAGAAGGTGGTGCACCGAACCCCCCAACCCCGAACACTAAACCCTTATAATCCCCTACTATTAGTAAGCCTTCCTGCGACGCAGGTGCTGGCGCGCTGCTGGATGATGGCTGGGATGCCTGGGCTCCCAGCTATATAGGGGTATAGTTTTTCTTAGGATATGGGTCTAGGGAGTTTTCGAGATTTAGGGTTTAGGGTTCGGGCTCGGGTTTCCTCGATATGTCTCGTCTTAAGGGTTGTACTAAATAGAGGGTTCAGGGCTTAGGGTTCTAGTGCAGGGTTATAAGGGTTTTTGACCCGGGCAAGGCTTCGGATTTAGGATTTGGGGATGCTGTTATCGCGGGGTCCTCAAACCCTTAACGTGAACCCTAAAACCTTGAACCCTAAACCCCAAACCCCGAACCTTAAGCGCCTACAGCTTTCGAGGTTTAGGGTATAGGGTTCGGGCTCGGGTTTCGATAGGGCTTATTTTTTTGTTTATGGGTTCACATAGGGCCGAATTCTTTGTATGGATTACAGGTCAAATAGCATTCGGTCAGAGCTTTGCATTTAGGGGGTTTCGGATGCCTGGTTTTCGGGGGTCCTAAAACCCAAAACCCTTAACCCAAACCCTAAAACTTGAACCCGAAAACCCCAAACCCTGAAAACCCTACACCCCACAAAAAAACCTGAAACCCTAAACCCGAAATCCTATGTGGAGTTCAGCCGGAGAAATACCCTAAACCCCGAACCCCAAACCCTAAACCCTGCCAGGAATAATTCTTGGTCTTCCCCCAGGCCAGATCGGTATATATATATATATATATATATATATATATATATATATCGATCGAGACTATAGGTTTAGGAATACCAGCCCTCCGGCCTAGAACAACATTCGATTTTCTAAGCCCACCCAACCCCTGCATGCAGCACGAGCCGGAGTTGACTACTTCCATTGGCAGAGCTTTAGGCACAGCTGCGCTGCCGCGGCATGCCCTTTCACCGTGCACGATTGCACTGATTTTGGTGGGTTCTGCTGCAAGAAATGCCATTACTGTTGTAATGCGCGGCAGTCCCAGTCACCACGGCAAAAGGTGCCAGCAACGTCTATACAGAGAGCAACGTCCACAGAGATCCACACCGGTTTCGACAAAGATCTGAGCGACGCAAAGCTCTCCGTCGCCAGCGCCGTTGGAAAGGCACACTCTTTCACTTCATCGACCTCCTCGTGGCCGAGCTCTTCGTCAGGGTTGTATAATTAATATCCCATTGCCCTGATACTCCCTAAGCCCCTGCCCCGACCCAGCCCGCGAACGCATGTACGGCCCAAGCTTAAACCAGAAGTGCTTTTTGCACCCTAAAACCTAAAAGACCTTAAATATTAATTCCCCGGCACACCCTAAGCCCGGACCCTAACCCTGGAGTGGAAACCCTACGATCCCTATATAGGGGTGAAGACCTTAAATATGAATTCCCCGGCACACCCTAAGCCCGGACCCTAACCCTGGAGCGGAAACCCTACGATCCCTATATAGGGGTGATAGGCTCGGGTATAGTTTAAATTTGGTTGTACCAGGACGATATATTTATATATAGATTATATAATTCGAATTATCACACCAGATGCTGCCCAGGTGGGCACGGCAGCGACGGGACCCGCGAGTCCTGGCACATTGTGGTTTTGGAGGTCGGGGGTAATTTCGGTCGGGGTCTAATATTCAGGGCACCCTAGAGGTTCCTCGGCGCCATGCGCACCCGTATGCCCCTAGTATAGCCCCATATATGCTATCCCGGACTTGGGTTGAATTCTTGAATTCGGGGATGACTTAGATAAGGATTCCTCGTACTGGCATTCTTTATCGGATATGGGTACCCTAGGTATAAGGTTAATTCCTTTTGCGCCCTCCGCACCCATATGGCCCTAACTCCACCCCTAGGGTCGGGGATGAATTCGGAATTGTATATAAGTATACCCATATATAGGTATACTTATATACAATTCCGAATTCTTCAAACCGGTTTGGGGATTACTTCGATTGGGATTCCTTCTACTGGTTTTATGGGTACCCTAGTTATAGGTTCCTTGTTGCCATGTGCACCCATACGCCCCTAGCTCCACCCCTAGGGTTGGGGATGAGTTCGGATTTTTTTTTACAGGTAGTCGGGCTCATTCTGGAATTGGGGGATTACTTTCACAGGAATCGCTGGCAATTCTATTTACTATCCTGGTAAGGGTACCCTGTATAGGTGTAGGTTCCTTGGCGCCATGCGCACCCGTACGGCCCTAACTCGACCCCTAGTGTCGGGGATGAATTCGGAATTGTATATTAAGTATACCCATATGGGTATACTTATATCTTATATACAATTCCGAATTCTTCAAACCGGGGATTACTTCGATTGGGATTCCTTCTACTGGTCTTATGGGTACCCTAGTTATAGGTTCCTTGGCGCTATGCGCACCCATACAGCCCTAACTCCACCCCTAGGGTCGGGGATGAATTCGGAATTGTATATATACCCATATGGGTATATATACAATTCCGAATTTTCATGAATTCGGAATTGTACTTTGGGATTTATATATTATTATATATATATATGGGTACCCTAGGATAGGTTCCTTGGCGCCATGCGCACCCATACACCCCTAACTCCACCCCTAGGGTCGGGGATTTAAGGTATTCGGGATTCTGGAATTCGGGGATTACTTTCAGAGGGATCACTCCCAATATATGGGTACCATATTAATTAGGTTCCTCGGCGCCATGCGCACCCGTAGGGCCCTAACTCCACCCCTAGGAACAATTTTTGTGAGGGGATGGTTACCCTAGGTATAGGTTCCCCGGCACCACGTGCACCCATATGACCCTAAAAAGCTCCACCCATATTTCTTTAAAACCCCCACAAATGTCTGGGCTGGGCGGGCGGGGAAAAGTTTTAAAAGCTCAGCTCGAGCAGTCACTTCGTCGCAAACAAGAGCGTCATCAGAGATGCACACAAGGATGGACATGCGACTAAAAATCTGTAAAGCATGCCAAATACTTCTCTTGAAAAATCCACCCAAAAAGGGGGGGATGAAATAAGTCTCATGAAGTACCGTTGTCAATGTCAAACACGGCCTGCGGCCTGCGGCCTGTCACCGATTTCAAAGAAAGAAAAGTCTGCAGGCAGAAAAGTTTCTTCTTTAAAATCGGCGATGTTTGATAGAGGCACTTACTGACGACACTGCACAGAGTATTCTCGCGGTGAAGTACACAATAAGGATATTTAAAAACTTCGCAATCCGATATATTCAAATGAATCCAACTCGATATGTATGTGACTCAATAAAAGGAGTCGAGCTCGAGGCTCAATGGTATTCCCGGACAAATAAGAAGTCGGCAGCAGAGAAGGTCGCGCACTCTTCCTTTTTCTCTTCAGCGATCAGGGGTTTGAACGAATTCTAATTCGGGAACCATAGCATCCGGGCCGCAGCCGATGCGAGGAGCACGGGCCAGAAGCCGCTCAGAGTTTGTCCCGAACACACCCCCTCGGATCGACGAACTCAGAGCAGGTAGGCATCAATCAAAGATTGGTCAACAAGGTAAGGCTCAACATCTGTCGCACGAACGACTTTCTGCGCTTTCCAGCCTTCGCCCCTGGAGGGCCAATCTGCGATGTTCGATGAGGATGGCACCCTCTCTATCCAAGAAATGCAAGGGGCGACGGCATCGACCATAGACAAAGCCAGGGCCAAGCGATGCATCGCGTCACTTCTGCTTTGACCACGCAACACCACAGATCTAGCGGCATCGTTGTCAATGAAGAAAATGATTCTCTTTCCTGAAAGAAAATTCTGAAGGCCGGCCCTGATCATCAGGAGGGCATAAAGCTCCACCTCACAGATGATTTGCTCCCCGACCTCCTCGCGCCAGCGAACCACAAGGCGCTCGGGAACTTGCCCTTGAAAGACTCTGGATACGCCGCTGCTCGCATCGAGAATCACTGCACCGATCCCGGCGAAGGCTTTGGCAGGCTCCCAAGCTCCATCAGTCCATACCAGGATGGGAGGCTCGCCGGTCGAATCGCAACTTCTGAAGCGGGGCGGTGTGCTCACAAGAATCTTGATCGTGTGCCTGCACATCTCGCTGACTGTCTTTGGCGATAGCCATTTGCACGAGTGCTTGAGGGCACGACCGGCAAAGAAACCCGATGAAAAGTTGAGCAAGCCCAGCAAAATCTGTGCCTGGTGAATCGTGAGGAAACCCGAAGCAGCCACGGATTCAAGCTTCTTGAATGTTTTCACCCTTGAAACAAAGCGCCTGCGATACGACATATACTCAGCACACATGCAATGGCGGCAAACTTGCATGACTGGAAAATCAAAAGAGAGAATAGGAAAATGTTTCACAAAACCTACTCCTCAAAACTACAAACTCCTTCCTTCCTTCCTGGGCGCAGGTTACGTAAAACACAAGCACCCCGCCCAAATGCACATGAGTCCTCAAGACCTCGTGCTGCATTTGTTTGTGTTCGTCACTGCGACAAAGCACTGAGCTTACAAGCCAACAGTGGAAAACTCGAAATGTTCGACAAACGAGTTTCAAGAAAGAAGGAACCTATACAAGCCGCCATGCACATGCCGAGAAGTCGCACCGCACTTTGCTGTTCGTCTCTGCCGAGCGCGGACGTACCGCAGTCCTGGGCCTCGGGTGTGAAACTTCACTGCCTGCTACGGACCTCGGACCTCACCTGTGCTGCAGGAGCGGCGCTCGACTGCTTAAGAGGGCCGGTGCCCCTTTCAAGAAAGACCCAACAGCCATTCTCAAGAGTAATGCCAAAACCTAGCGCTGCTGGCTAGCTCAAGACATCAAGGATTATGGCAGCAAGTTCGCAAAACGGTGACATCCGCGAGTCACCAAGTCGAAACACGCAGTCGCCTATAGCGCAAAGCAAGATCGGCTTCTTCAGCCCAAGTGGGTCTGACTTCCCAAATGGCTGGTAACATGGACGTCCAAAGCATTGGATAACCTCACAAGTGCATTGAAGTCGCAACTCAAGGATAGTCTCAAGCTTGTTTTACAAGAAGGGACTAAACCACAGACTACTGGAAAGGCTCGGGTTCGGGGTGTTCACGGCGTGGATTGTCGGCTTCATCGGTAATCCGAAGCATTGGGAATCGCAAGTCATTGCGAACTCGGTTCATGCAGATCAAGCACATCGTGATCCTGGGATCACGTCGCAAAAGCACACCAAGCTCTTCTTCAGCAATGACAGTAGCTCTACTTAAACCCCAACACCCTCGGAACACATGCCATCTGCGCCCAGAGATCGGCGCATGGTACACAAGCAGCTGATCGACAGCAGCAGGGAATCCAGGAGGATCAACAACTGCAATCGGCACTGCTGCCAAGGCATGGTTCTCAGGCTCATCGATCGGATCATGGGCAGTGGGTGAAGCAGGGTGGCTGTTGCCATCGCCTGCCCCATCATTGCTCTGCGTTGGCTCTGACAGCGGCTCATCAGAGGATGCTCTGGTCACATCGGGTGTTTGCGCAAGCTCACCATCTGAAGGAATGTCATCGCTCAAGGTCGGCGCGTCGTCGTCACAAGCAGGTGTGGTGGCGTCGTCGGGTTCACAAGGCATCTGTTGCTGCAGCTCGGCACTTGGCAACACAAACCAAAACCCTAGACCTATGAGGAATCCTACGATTAGGGTGAACCATACAACCCATGGGTCGGGGACTCATCTGCAATCTCAGCTTGGCAACCCTGCAGGCTCATGCATAGCACCGCGAGGCATCCGATGCACACAAGGATGAATCCGCAACCGCTCAAGGCGCTTTCAAGCACATGCGGACGGCTCTCGGAGTCAAGCATGCGTGCCTGATTGGCATCGATCAAGGACATGAAGGTCAGCGCTTGCAGGAGCGCATGCACCCGTTGCGGGGGTCCCCTGAATGCCTTCACTGCCTTAACCGCAAGCTTCAAAGACAGGTTGTTGTCACGAGCAACGGCCTGGGCCTCTCCGACGCGATTGAACTGAGCATCACCATCCCTGACATTCAAGAGGTACATCAAGTACAGCATTCGCTCACGCTTAAGCACCTTGGTCATCAAGTCCGAAGAGTTGTCAAGGGTCCCGACCGGGTGGAGCTTGAATGCTCCGTCCTTCAGGGCCTGTTGAACCCACAGCAATCTGATCTCGACGTGTTTGAGCTTGGAGAGCCCTTGCTTGTTCACAACAGCACGAGCTGAGGAGGAGTCGCTGAAGGCATGGCTTTCGGGAGTGACTCCAACAATGAACCGCAGGGCCTCCTTCACATACATCAAGTCGACTGCAAAAGACACAAGGGCATTGAGCTCCGACTCGCAGCTTGACATAGCTACGACTCGTTGCGTGCGGCTCGCCGTATAAATCGCATTCCCATTCAAGTACAAGGCCCCAGCGCTCACGCTCCGGCGTGTGGTGTGATCTGAAGCCCAGTCGGAGTCTGTGTACAGCTCCAGCACGTCGGCGCCGGTATCACACTGGACTCTGGTGCCATGTCCTGCATGCGTGCGCTCCAGCCCAAGGCAAAACCCGCTGGTTGATTTAGCATATCGAACCAGGTGTTTGAGGGCCTTCATACAAGCCTCGGTTGGGCAGGCAAGGTGCTGGGAGAGCATGCGAATGGAATGTTGCATATCGGCAGTGTCTGCAGAGATGTACATCAGAATCCCGATGCACGACCTGTAAACCGACACCTGATCCTCTGGGAGAGGCTCTGACTTGGCCAAATCAAGTGTCTGCAATGGCAACGGAGTGGGCTTCGGGGAGTGGCGCTCAAGCTGCAAAAGCTCAACAAGTTTCATGATATGTTTGTCAGCTTTCTGAATGCAAAGCAGATCCTGGCGGGCCAAAGTGTGTTTGCGCTTCAAGAAGTGCAAGCTGTCGCCTTCGCGAACAAGCCACTCAAGAGTGCACTTGTACTTTGACTCTATGATCTGCGCAAGTCTCTGCAGCGCAGCATGTTCGCCTGACCCCAACAAGTCGTCTACGTGAAGGAGTCCTCCGCCGGAGTGGTTGCGCATAGCAAACAGCGCCTCGCATCCGGGCCACAACGAAACTCCGCCCTCCGAAACCAGATACTTGGTGAAGGTGGAAAACCAGACCGCTGAACCATCCCGCTGCCCCGGTAGCATAAATGCCAAACGGTACGTAGTGCCGTGGAGCGTCACCACGGTCGGGCACGGCTGCTCGCAAGTCAAGTAGGCGTCTGATATATCACAGGACAACAGGGCATACCCCTTGCGAGACATGTACAAGCCTGGCAGAAGCTTGAGCAGCACAGTTTGGGATGCAGGGCTGTATAAACCTTCCCTGAGGGGATCTCTGAACCTGAATTCCCGGGCCACTAGCCTAGATCTCCTGAGCCACACAGGGGCATCAGTGACCGGATGCGTTTTCGGTCGCCAGCTGCGAACGAACTTCACCGTCAATGACTTGCAGTCCTCATTGCCTGACTCAGGCTGGTAGATCACACCCATTGCCTTGAGCCTAGCTATCTCGTGGTGGTCGCACAGCGCATCAAGGTCAGCAAGCTCCTCGGGGCTCAGGGCAGGCTCATGTGGTGAGAAGGGCCGATAAAGCTCATCAGGAGGGGCAAGGCCTTGCTCACACTCCTCCTCTTCATCATCTGAACACAGGCCGTCAAGATCATTGATGCTTTCAATGTCCGCTGGGGAGAATGCAAGATCGGAATCCTCGTCGGCATGGTGGTACTCCACACCGCACACAGTTGCGGCTGCAATCCTTGCACGTTTGGGCTCAGGACCTGGAGCACCCTCCTCACCTGCTGGCCTGGGACGTTCCCTTGCAATCGAAGTGGCAGGGTCGACTGGCATAGGCTCAGCAGAACCGGCACTGCTTTGCACCAAAGAATCACCTGTAGCAACAGCCTGCGGTGCAACGGGGGCACCAGACTGCAACGGAAGCTCTGCGGCGCCAGTGCCGCCAGAAGCGGGAGCAGCAGCCTCACCGGAACGGTGACCATCGGGGTCATCCTCACTCATCTGCGAAGAACTCTCAGGATCAGAAGCGGCTTCCTGAGAAGGGCTGTAATCGCGCGCATCCTCAGGGATCTCTCCAGGACCTTCAGGCAAGGGCGCGAGCTCACCTAGCAAGTCGGAAACCCCACCAAGCTGATCCTCAACTACCAACCTTGCGTCACCGCCAGCCGGAAGGACCTTCGGCTTGCGTTGGGCTCGGGACCTACCTAAGGAACCCGCTACAAACCCGGGGTGGCGCCAAGGAGGATCACGGACACAGTCGTGCAAGGCTGGAGTGAAGCCAGTGGCAAGCCGGCGCACGGTGCGGGCCAACATGAGCTTGCCGGCTCCAGAACACAAGATGAACTCATCATTCGGAGTGCACTTTCCGATCATGATGGCCTGGATGAACCGCGGTTTGCCCTTGGGCCCGGGAGAAACCAATCCCATCACAGTTTCGCCAAACGGTAGCACTTTCCCTTTGTAAGGACGGCCATGTATGATCTCGAAAGGAGTAAGCCCTCCGGGTCGCAGCACAAATCTGTTCAGGATCCAAGAAGAATGCCGGAGGCACCATGAATGGAGAGCGTGGGCCGTTGCGACCTTAAGCTTGGTCTCTGCTTCGTACATCGAGAGCAGAGTGTTGCACTGCTGCCGCAGCGTTTGCACGGCAACCTCGGCACCTCCATTGGATTGGTGGCTTTCCTCAGCTGACTGCTGCACATCAGTTTGCAAACCCAGCTGTAGCCGCATGCGCCTCACCTCATTGCGTAACTTCAAGCATGTGGGCTCGGGGTCGCATTGAAGCACAACTTTGGAGTAGCCTAGCATGCTAAGCAGCCTGCAAATCTCAGCAGCAAGGTAGCTGGTGACATTGATCCCATCATGCACGCCTGCCTTGCCTGGCACCGGGATGGCCTCTCGCCAGCCACTCTCAGAATCGTGAAGACACAGAAAGGCAAGCTTGTTGTGAGGGCCATCCTCCTCCGATCGGCCAGTGAAGCCGTAGTCGAAGGATATCACAGGAAATTTGCGATCAGTATTGGCAGCTTTGTGCATGTCACCCCTTGCTTTAAAGGCCACGCAGCGCTGGCACCAGGCTTCATATGGGGCGTGCACAGCCTCGTGGGCTCGTCGCTGCTCTGGTGTGGGCTCCTTCGGAGCTGCCGGCACATTGGGCACAGGTGCATTCGGAACCTCAGCGGCGCGACTAGCCTCAATCAGCTTAAGCCTGTCAAGCTGGTTGCACAGCCTACGGAACACCACGGCTTTCGAGCCTGATTTCCCGACACCAAGGCTCTGGCATGCACGGCGAAGCACTGACAGGGTGCTGTCAAGACTCAGTTCGACATCATCGACAACAATCTTGTCTGGCTGGGCTTCGCGTTCGTCAGCGAGTGCCCCTTGCATCACTGCATCATCAAGGGCACCATCGCGTGCCTCGCCCCCGCCGGCTGCTTCAGCTGCAGCCCCGCCGGCTAGCTCAACTTCAGCCCCGCCGCCTAACTCAACATCGGCCTCCTGCATTGCTTCACCGAAGAAATCCTCAAACACGGGGTCTGCTGAAGACTCTGGAGGTGCAGGTGCCGGCGCATCAAGAATTGGCACATCAGTTGCGAAACCGAGGTCGCTGGGTGCCAGCGGCTCCCGATGACCGAACACGATCATCTCTACCTCCTGATCGGCAACCTGAGTGGTCAAGTCTTCGCCAAGGTCGGCGATTGAAGACGAAAGCTCGGAAAGAACCCAATCCCCATCTATCTTGATCAAGGTGGTGCGGTAGGCGAGACCCTCGTAAGGCAGATACAAGCTCAAATCGACAAGGTGCTTCGAAGTGAGGCTCGTGGCATGTACACCTGGGGCAATCTCCTGAAAGAAGTCTGTGCTGCGGATAAGGCGGTCAAGCAAGCCAGTCAAGCGCACCTTAATAACCCGAACTGCAGAGGGCTGAGGCTCCTGGATAGAGCGTATGACGCCCTTGCACACAAGAGTGTTGTTGCTGAAACCCACAGGGATCCGCGCTCCATGACACGGGCTGGTCAGGCACATTCCAAGATCATCAAAGTCAAGAGGCAGACATGACTCATCGGCGGCTGTGTCGACACAGATCTCCAACTGTTGCTCATAGCTGTGACGGCTGACTGCAGCTACACGCATGGGTGACGAAACAGGGCTGAGATCCCAATCGCCATCATGGTCACTGCTAGATATGTCAAACTCTGCAGGACAGCCACTGGGCACACATCGGACCAAAGTGGACTCAACGCGGCCTATGGACAGGTCTGACCGGCGCGGCTCATCCGAAACTGCACAAGGATCTGACTGGCACGGCTCATCCGAAACTGCAAACGGATCTGACTGGCACGGCTCATGCGAAACTGCAAACGGATCTGACTGGCACGGCTCATGCGAATCTGCACAACGAATCGCTCTAACACTTGAGGAGGAAGCGGGATCACCAGGCATAGCACGAATGTCAAACATGATGCGCTTCACAGCTGCTTTGGCGGCTGCCTTGGGCGACGGTGATCCTTGATCTCCACCAGCAGCAGCATCATCCTCAGTGATGGCACGCACCTTGCCCGCAGCAAGGTCAGCTTTGTACTTTCTGCAATCTCTCTTGTAGTGTCCTTTCTTGTGGCAGTAGTGGCATTCGGCATCGGGGGAGGCCTTAGGTTTGGCTTTCGGCTTACCCTTAGGGCTGGGGGCATCCTTAGATTTTCCCTTATCACCTTTGCCTTTCCCTTTATCCTTCCCTTTCTTGCCTTTGCCCTTATCCTGACCCTTGATTTGGGCCACGGAACCTTCTTGGTCCACTTCCATGGAAGCACTGCCCTTGTTGGGACTGACAAGACCAAGCTCCTGCTGCACTCGCGCGGCACTCCAATTAGTAGTACTTACTTCATATGACAGCACAAGGTTCTTTACGTCCTCATAAGTTGTAGAAGCGTCCATTCTCAAGTGCACGTGGGGTTGCAGGGCTTTGGGGATGGCTCTAAGTACAACTGACAGCTTGACATCACCAGGAAGTGCATTGCCAGAGGCCTTCTCATACTCGGCGATCAGCCGCTCGAAGCTGCTGAGTTGCTCACGCAGCGTTCGGTCACGCGTGAATGCTGGAAGCCCCATCACTGCACTCAGCAGCGCAAGCGACCTGGAGCGCGTCCTCGGGCTAAATTGGCAGGTTAACTGCCGCCAGCATTCAAACCCGTTGCGATCTTCAATGCCGCGGTGTATTGCAAGAGGCCTCCCTTTCAAGACAGAGCCTAGAATCACATACAGCTTCCTAGCCCTTTCAAGACAAATGGGTGGCATATTGGCAATGTGAGGCACTTCAGTCAAGCGTTGCTCTACTTCTGCTAGATCGCTCTCATAAGCAGGCTCTGCAAAGGTAACCCAGTTACGGAAACTGGTGGACCAGGCTAGCCAGCCCAGCGCATCCTGATCGGCATTCTCAGTGCCAAACGGCTCGGGATACTTGAGAACCTTGTTGGCTAAAGTAAAACCCCCACTATTGTCAAGAGGTGGCTTGTTGGCCGCTGCACTCTGCTGAGACACCATCATAAGAGTCTGCTGCGCAGTCTGAGCAAGCGACATCACCATCGTCTGCATAGCCTGCATGTCAGCAAGCTGTGGCCCTGGAGCCTGTGGGAAGGGACCTGCAGGGAACCCCGGCACTTGCGACGACGAAGCAACCTGCGGCGGATCTCCAAGGTCGTCATCATCATCATCATCCAACGGCACATTCGGTGGCTGTGACACCGGACTTCCATGTGCAGACATTTCTGCAGCAGTGTGGTATTGGGCTCGTAAACAAAATCAAGACAGAATCACAAAGGCTGATCAATCAAGGTCAATGCAATGCGTAGCTCTCCTAAGCCGGTGCTTGAAGACGTTCCTACCTACAACAAACCCAAGGGCAAAGGTCCTCCCTGCTGCCCAGTTGTTGAAGCGGATGCACTGCTGATCACTCAACACACGACTAGCCAATCTGGTGACCTGAGACAAGGAAGTCAAGGCCTCAGCAGTTGCTTTGTGCCTTGCAAGATAAGCTGCTTGCCTCTTGCGGAAAGAGAAGACGCTCAGACTCGGAGTCCGTACTTTAGCTGCAAGCTGCAACCGAAGCAGATGCAAGAAGCGGGCTTTCGCCTGACTGAGCAAAGGGTCCTTGTCCCACGCGAGCACAAGGGGAGCGGCCGTGGCTGCTACGAGCTACCCAGCTACACTTCGCCGAAGAAAAGAAAACACCAAAGTCAAGGACAGGTTTCCGCACGCTGGCCCCCGAACAGAGAACCAACAAGAAACCCGACGTGAGAAGCACTGGTCGGCCAGTGCTCCGCTACCATGAATGTTTTCACCCTTGAAACAAAGCGCCTGCGATACGACATATACTCAGCACACATGCAATGGCGGCAAACTTGCATGACTGGAAAATCAAAAGAGAGAATAGGAAAATGTTTCACAAAACCTACTCCTCAAAACTACAAACTCCTTCCTTCCTTCCTGGGCGCAGGTTACGTAAAACACAAGCACTTCTCCACGATCCGATCGATCCTGCCAGGTTTGTTCGACAGGACGATGCTTCTCTCCGACATGTTGCTCAAGTCGATTTGCATTCCCAAAACGGAGAAGACCTCCGCAAAGGGATGTGATTTGCTGCCTGTCTTGGCGTGGCTCCAGCCCAGAAGATCTAAGAATTCGCTGATGATGCCGTCAGTGTCGCTAGAAGCGAGTGATGTCGAAAACATCGGGAAGTCGTCAAAGTACACTGAGCTAGGAAGCTTGAATATCTTCAGCAGCAGTTTGTGAAGGCTTCTGCTCGTGCGCACGAACCCGTACACCGAAGCAGTGAGTCCGAAGAGCAGCGAGTTTGCAATGAAGAATTGATCCTCGCCAGCCGGGCCCTTGTGGTAGATCACAGCCAGAGAGCGATGCTCTTTCTTCATAGGCATCTGCTTGTACGCCTTAGATAAATCAAGGCACTTGCCCAGCCACGATCGAGGGGGCTCGCCTGTAGCGCGAGATCTCTCGGCCTCTTCAATGGCGATCCTTGTTGCTAGAGCTGCAACAAAGTCGGAACTCTGGAGCTCCAACTTTATGGTGGCCGTGAAGCAATTGTTGATCAAAGCCTCGTGCCCGTCATCAATGGGTCTAGGTTTGTTCTCGGCTCCTTGAAGGATCAGGAATCTTCGTATGCAGTTCCAATCTTCCGAATGGAATAAGCCAGACACTTGACTTTCGGTGTAAGGGCCTTCCAGAAAACCCAGATCGACTTCGTCCATCGTAGCCTTTGACAGCAAATCCTGAAGGTCGGCTGCTTGCATGCCACTGGATCCAGTCAAGACCCTTCGGCGGAATGATGCAGTGCTTTTGAGATCCTGTTCCGACATGGTCGCCGGCACAATCTTTTTGCTGAAAGGCGGAGGGCAGGCTGACTGCCCGACAATCGGGACGCCTGACATCATGAAATCGCAGACTTGCATGTCATCGAAACCGTTCTGTTCAAGAAGGTGCTTCCACAAAAGAAGACGCTTTCCCGCAACAACCTTTTCGAACCAAGGGTCGTAAGAAGAATGCAATCGAGCCTCGTCGGCCTCAAACTTTTTGGCAAGGATCTTTATCTTCATAAGTTGAAGCTTACGATGATCTACCACCTCTTTCTCTGTGTTTTTCATGCAGAAGCTGATGGCATCAAGCTGATCCTGATCAAGGGCTACGGCAGTGTCGACGGGATGCTTTAAGGTCAAGGCCTTTGCCACGTGATCCTGCATCGACAAGTACCACCCCACCTTAACCGAACCCTGGGGCGGGTCGGAACCGTTAGGGAAACCAGAGGAGTGAACCTTGCTGGAAACCTTATTCGCGACTCTGAGGAGCTTAGCAGGAGGGTTTAACTCCTTGTCGCCAGTAACCCGTCCTTCAAACACAGCTGCATTGTCGGCTGCATTGCTGTCCTCGGCTGCATTCTCTCTCCCGCCATCCTCCCAAGCAATCTGAGAGAGAAGGATGCGACAGGAGTCGTCAGGTTGGAAAGAGGGCGGTTCCCAAGAGACCTTGCGAAACTCAGGAATCAAGGGAGGGAATCGGCGGTGCTGCCGACCAAGAACTGCAACAGAGCTGGCTGCCAAGTCAGGAGATGCCTGCAAAGATAGACCCAGGAACGAAGCCGCGCTCTCCAGACAGGAGGCCATGCGTTTGCAGAGCAGAACGGGGTATGCCGACACCAAAGAAGACGACAACTGCATAGAACGCTCGTGGAACACAAAGCCCCACGGGCGATGCACGTGATTGCCTGGACAAGTAGCTCGAAGCGAGTGGAACAAGCCTCGAGTGCACAAGAAGCGAGTGGACTTGGGTCGATCGGAACCGTGACAACACTGGTCGAAATCAACGTACTCCAAGGCGGCCGGCGGCCAAAGCAAGCCCTCGGCCTCAGCAAAGCATTGAAGAACCTTCCAGAAAAGCGAATTCCGAGGATTCTCAACACTGACATTGATGCCTGAAGCGGAACAATGCAGTAGAAGCTTGTAAACGAAACGGTACAGCACATTGTCCTTGCGCACTGCAAGGCTCTGCTGAGACGCGGCACTCAGTGACGGCAGGCCTAAAGGGAAGTCATCGGAACGCAAAGGTTTAGGGGCCTTAGAGGCAAGGGCATGATTCCTTGGCAGGGGACGCTCACGAGAGCGAGAAGCCGTGCCCGCAGGGGGCGATGCATGCACGTGAAAAGGAGGGCACTCCTTAATGAGATCCCAAAAGATTGCCTGGGCTGAATCTAAGGTCAGATCAAGCTTGGCTACAGGAGAGACTGCTCTATAGCAAGAACTGTCTAACCCCAAAACCCGAAAACCCAAATCCTTGCAAGCCTTGCTGAAACGTGCACTGCCAGCGAAAAGCTCGTAAACCCACGAGTCTGATTTCACAGGCGGCTGTTCCTGGGCAGTCACAGGAATGGGAAAGGCTAGATCAGGCGGGGGCCTAAACCCGAGAGTAAGCAGGGTCCTTGCTGACTCAGTTGAAATTTTCTCAAGGCTCGCGACAGTGAAGGCCACACAAACCAAGCGATCGCCAACCCAGCTTTCGGTCTCGTGAGGGTATTTAAAGGCATCGAAAGTGACCGGGGTCTCGAGGCTAAGGATTGAGCCTTTTACTATGTCACCTTTGATTGAGCGTGTGTGAGGTCCGCATCCATCAGCGATCCAGATGCCACCTCCCTGAAAAGGTGTCACGGGTATGACCCCGTTGGGGGTAGGATGGTTCCTCGAATCGACATGCAAATCGGTTTTGGTGTTGTGAAACAGACTGATTGTAGTGAAGAAATGATCAGGCATGAAAGCGCGAACAAAAGTAGTGAAGAGCTTGACGCAGAATGGAAACAGAGCACATTCACTCCGAAGACCCTGCAATCCACCTTTTGCGTATGCCCCACAACTGAAGCTGCTCGGAGGCTGCGAGGAGGCTCCTCTAGAAGGAATCTCCTTGGGCAAAAAATCAAAAATCTGAACAACATCTTGCTTTGTAATCCCTGACCCTCTGGCCAAAATGGCCTGTGCGAGGACCTCAGCATCGCTAGGGGCAGAATCCGAAGTGGCCACGAGGTCAGGCCCCTGGGGCCTCGCATGGCCCCATCACTGTACCTGATTTGTGCATTCAGTAAAGGGGTGATCCCCAAAACAACGCCAACACTGGTGGAAGCCTCGCGGGCATCTTCCTTTCGTCACCTTGAGCCTGCATGTACCCAAGTTAAACCCAAAACAATTCGGCTTGCCCTGAGGATCTTTGGCTGCACAGCCATCCGGAATGGTCACACGGGATGCCTTGCCTCCGCCCTTTTCACCGCCCTTGTTGGGCGTCTTACCCTTCCCGTCACCTTTGGTTGGCGTGGTAAGCTCCTTGAAAGGGCGCTTCGTTGGGTGAGGGGCAGGAGGAGGAGCTACAAGCGGCTGAAGAAACTGATTTATCTCCTGGCTTCCCGATAGATCGCGCAAGGCAGCATCCATGGGTTTTTCAACACCTATGGGTTTCTGCAATTGTCCCTCAAGCATGTCGGCCAACCGAACAAAAAGCTCGCGATCTGCCGTAACAACTTGTCCCAAGCTAACTGCCACATATCCCTTTGGCACGGTGCGTTGAACTGCTTCGAAGAGCTTGTTGATCCAAGTTTCCATAGCTTCAAAGCTACACAAGTGACCCAGATCAAAGGCTAGCGACCGTCTCTGAAAGGCCTGCCGGAGAGGGTACATGCCTGTGGTGTCGCACGTCGGCTCCGGCTTTTTCTGGATCACCTTTAGGTTGCCCTCGTTGTCCATCTGAACGGCAGAATCCTTCTTCTGGAGAGACATCTCTTGGAAGCGGGATATCCATCTGTTAATCGGAATGTACTTGAGTGTGTTATTCTCGTACATGTCGGTCACAAGGTCGATGCAGCTATGGGCAGGGGTTGTATGAGAAGTTAGGATGAGACCCGACAGCCTACGATGCTGCGCCTCAATCCGCTCCTTTCGTTCGGCCTGGGGCAGGCGGCGCACGGAACCTTCTGGAGTCCCTTCGACCCTAGACTTGAGGTCCGCCACATTGAGTGATTGCGATTCAAACAGCAACCTACGGATCACTGAAACCTGAAAGGAACCAGGAGCCGGGGTGACTACAGTGGCTAGCCATGAGTCGACAGCTTCATCTGTCAGACCTTGCGGTGTAGACGATGCGGCGAAAGCCAGCTTTCCAAATGTGTTGTAACCGGCTTCAATCAACTTACCTAGAAGATCGTTGCTGAGGCCTATTTTACTGCATCTTTCCCGGAACGACGCTTCACTGTCCAATATGACAGAGGACATGGCTCAGCCTGCAGGCTACTCGGACTCGGCCGTTGACACAGTATTGAAGCAGAATGCTTCGGTCACTGTCTGAGCCAACGGGCGCCGGATCCACGCTTTGACATGTTGCCAAGCTGCTGCACAGCTGACCATGACATCGTGATTTCAGCAACGACACTTTAAGCATGTTCGCCAAACTTCCAGCACCACGGGCCATAGGCCGGTGCATGATGCATGGATGTGTTTCACAGTCCTACATCAGATCTAGCCCGCGCCATTCCAAGAGAAAGGGTCTGGGTTTTCGGCATGCCCCGGGCTCAGAAAGCCGGCATCCGCAGTCTGTCACCTCGGGTCATAGACCGGTGCCATGTGTATTCTCCGAGGCCACCTTTCGAGTGCACTATGGCGGAGCTCCGTGTGCATAGCCTGTCTGGCATCGTTCATCGACTTAGGGACGAGGGCACTTTCTTTTGTGGGCGTCCCCTCACGGACAGATACAGGCATTTCGAGGAAGACGATGCCGATGATCCGGACACCTGCCATCAGTGCAGGCGGGCGATGTCGGGCGCTGATTGAACAGATAATCTCGAAAGGAAAAAAAATCGGCCGAGCTCGGTGGTGGGATGTACCACTGCAGTTCTTTTGCATCGCCGGCTTTTGGCCCGTGGCGAGCTCAGACAATGCCAATGCGAAGAGACGTCCCGATCCTTCGGATCCGTGGGACCCGCTTTCCCCATTCAGGAGTGAGTTTCATTCGACGTTGATGTGAACTGTTGGGGCTGTATATCGTGGCTCAAGCTCAAGACCGGAACGCGGCATAGGCTCATACCCCACGATGGACTCAGCAGACTCAGAAGACTCCACATCGGCGGCACCCACATGTTGATCTTCAGGAGGAGCGGGAGCCTGTGCAGCAGTCGTGTCGCCGGCGAGTGCCGATGCCACCGCAGCGACTCTGTCCGTGACCTCGGCATCCGGGTCGAACTGGTTCTGGCGGATGGTCCTGAACATTGCCAGGATTTTGCCCGACAAGTTGATGTAGAACTGTCGACTATAAATCAAAGTCGAAGAAGGGCCGCCCTTCCTGAGGTGATGTCCCATCAACAACCTCTCCTTGGGGGTAAAAGAAATTATAGGAGACCATCCACTCCACGTAATCAAGGTAGTCTTGAAGCTGTGGGTCCCTATCGACTCCTCAGGTCCAGGGGCCATGTCCAATGATGTTAGGACGTCGATCAAGATGTCGCTGGCCTCCTCTGAGGACATTCGCTCCTGGCCCCAGCATCCCCACTTCTGCGACCAGGAAGGCAAGCACCCTCTGTCAAACTGGATGCCTTCTCTCTCACGTGCCTCCAACCAGAGCTGCGCCCACGGCGTTCTCAGTAAGAATACTGTGAGTTTGCTGAGCAATGCAGAACAGAGTAAGAAGGCGCTCACCTCTTTTTACTCGCGAAGGATGCTTGAAGTCGGTGCGAGGCAATGCGATGCCCAGTAACGGGAGGAGCGGGGCAATGCGTTGCCGAGCTCTTTTCCCCCAGGGTTGTGGAGGGTGGGTGAAAAAGCTAAAATCGGAAGCGATCCGGGTCAACAGCTTGAGCTAGCAGTGCGGCGCAAGGCGAAGCAATGCAAGCTCACGTACTTACCGAAAACACTGTCGACCAAAAACAACAAACTCACGACAAGCGTTCTCAGTAAGAATACTGTGAGTTTGCTGAGCAATGCAGAACAGAGTAAGAAGGCGCTCACCTCTTTTTACTCGCGAAGGATGCTTGAAGTCGGTGCGAGGCAATGCGATGCCCAGTAACGGGAGGAGCGGGGCAATGCGTTGCCGAGCTCTTTTCCCCCTCTTTAGTTCGACTTCAGCATCCTCTGCCTCGCGGGCTCAGAAACCCCCCTCGCATGAGGATGTAGAAGGAGACCTGTCGAGGCGGACAAGGAGAAGCAGTAAAAAAGTGCCAGAGCACAGGGCGTGCGAGTGGCGGAGCTCTGATGCAGAGTTTTTTCCCCGGTTCACGAGCGGTGAGCAAATCAACGCAGTAGGCTGCGCTGTGCCTCGCAGAGGCGAGGGGGGAAGGTGTTCTCCTCCCCTCGAAGTGAAACTGTGTGCGAAGCAGATGCGAGCTGTGCTAGGCTGATGCGAACGCGTTCGGCACTGCGGTGCTTACTGAATGCAAGGCGTCCGCGGCTGAGGGCGTCAGCCCACGAGTTCTTTTCGCCGGCCAAGTGCTCGACTTGGAACTGTACACGGTGCAGGTGCGCCCAGGTGGCGGCAAGGCGCAAGAAGGTGCTGAGCGGTTCTGTTGTCGTAAAAAGGCGGTTGACGCCACTCTCAGCAGAGGTGTTGTCGCTGGCGCTGGGAAGGACAAAGCGCGTGTGTTTGTGCCGAAGGAGAGCCCATGAGCAATGGGCGAGTGCGAGCTGTGCCAATGCCTCGAAGCATGCTATGTAGCTTTGCATGGAGCCGTGCAGTTGAGGCCACTCGGCTCGGACTTCGTCGGCAGTAAAGATCTCGCTGTACCAAACAAAGTGCGAGGAAGTGCTGAGCCAGCCGCCGATGCCCATTCGGTCAGTGTCGGCAAAGGCATCCGCGGCGCTCATGCAGGGCGCGACGGGAGGAGTGCGGAGGCTGCGTGGTTGCTCGTGTTTAAAGCAAAGCTCGAGCCAGGCGAGGCAGAATTTACTGTCTTGTTTGAGGTGAATCTCTGTGCGATTAGGGTCAGCAAGGCGGACCCACTGGTGCTTGTGGGAGGGCGGCACGCGGGGCACGTCAGACTTAGAGTGAATCTTAATAGAGCCAACCTCAAGAAGCTGTGCATTGCGAGGCAGCCAGGAGCCAAGAGGCGTGGAAGAAAGCTTGGCGGTGTTATCAAGGCACTGGTAGAAGGGCGCCCAAGCCTGCGGGGCGATGCTGTGGAGGGTTCCGGCACTGCTATGCAAGTCTTTATAAAGGCATGACATGAAGGAGCGCATGTGCGGGCTAAGAGTGGTAGCCCAGTTGAGCAGTCCAAGGCACGCTTCCAGGTCCTTCTTTAGGATTTTGGAGGCAGTGCGAAGCTTGCGGAGCTGTTGGCGGAGTTTTTCCAGTTTGCTCTGGACTAAGGCGACGGTTTCTGTGCGGAAACAAAAGGTCCAGCCGCACCAAGTGATGTGATCGCCGAGCTGTGCCTTTTTCCAGCTGATGGGTGCGTGGAGCGCGGCGAGCAGTGCAACGATAAGGGCGACCGGCTGGTCTAGCTTGTCACGCAGGAGCGTGGCGAGGATGTCGTCAACATAGAGCCAGGCTTTGTGCGGGTATTTGCAGAGCAGTGAATGCAGGATGCGCAGGATAAGGGATCCTGTCCGTTGCCACCAGTATGCAGAAAAGCGGGCGCCGAAATGGCACACGGTGTAGTGATAAAGCTTGTCAGCAATGCGAAAAAGCAGAGTGCCCTGCTCTGCGGGGCGAACTTTTTGTGCCTTATGTGCCGCTTTAAAGTCTAAGGAGAGGCCTTGCAGACGAGCAAAAGGATCGGAGGCGAAGAAAGTGCGTTGCACATCGAGGGCGCTTGGCATGGATACGCGTTCCGGTAAGTGCACAGAAGGGTTTAACCCGCAAACCGAACTATCTAGTACTAGGCGGGGATCTTTGCCGTCTGCGTGAACTATATTAAGTTTGCCGATAGCGGTGCCTAGCGGCCAGTGCTTTGCGGCATCTTCTGCGGAGCCGTGGAAAGGCGCGACGTGTCCCGCCGAAATTTCCTGGTCCACCAGCTGCTGAAGCAAGGTGGGATCGCGTTCAGCGGCAGTCCAATTTCCCGCGCAGTGCTCAAGGCGGTGCGGGTCAAGATCAGACGACGTATCAATGTTTTGCGGTGCGGAAGGCCAGAGGCCGCTGGGCGGCAGCGGTGAGAATGCGCCTGTGGACACGCCTTCTTTGAGAATTGGCACTAGGCCGGTGTCAGGATCGTCAATGGCGCGCGCGAGCATTTCAAGGATCTCGAGGCGAAAAGGCTGGCCTGGTTCAATGCGTAGAGCTTCGGATGCGGGCATGTGCCGGGCAAGGTGGAGTCTGATGATTTCTGCAAGCACGGAACCATGTTGTTCCGAGAGGGGCGGCTCTGGCAGACCCGCGTGCAGGTGAGCAAGGATGGGCTTAAGAAGTTGTTCTTGACGCAGGTATTCCAGCATGGATTGCGCAACCGAAGCTAGAGGGGTGCTGGGCTTATTGGTGCAATGCATGTGGTCAGCGGAGCTGACATTGCCCGCACCGTCGCAAACAGGAGAGCGTTTGCAGTGGAAAGTGGATGCTCCTAGGCTGTGCAGAGCGTGCAGGGGCAATGGCGCCGAAGGCGACTGTGACGTCACATCTGTGGTGCAGAGGGAAGCCAAGGAATGCAAGTCTGGGATGCCGTCCGATTGCAGTTTGCTGTGCAGGGAACAGCTAACCCCGAGGAGCATGCGATGAGGCGAGCGCGTCCATGTGCACGTGGCTGCGAGTTCTTGGGCAAGTTGAAGGTACATGTCGAAAATGTCTTCCGTAGAGGGCTGCGGAAATGCAAAGATGACATGTGCACCTTGAAGGTGGGCAGCGCGATGCAGGGCGCAGAGACTGCGATGGAAAGATGCTGTATAGGAACTGGTGTCGCCAAGAATGCATAGCACTGCGAGGATGCCAGACCAAGCCGCTCCCTGCATGGAGGCTAAGATGTCCGGATGCCAATGACCTTCCGTGGTTTGCAAAGCAGGTGGAGAAGCGAATCGGTGCAGGGACTGATTGATTGGCTTGGCATCCTGGAAAAGGTCCGGCGGCCAATAGAGGAGATAGCGGGCTGGGGGGGTGCAAGTGGAGGCAGCTGAGGTTGGAGCGGGGCCACCGGATTCACTGTCAGCAGATTCTGAAGCCTCACTGGCCGAGGAGTTGCTGTGCTGTGGGGTTGGTGAGCGAGGGCAGGCGAGGCCGGGCAGGGTGGCTTAGAAACCTGAGCCTTAGGGGGGCTGCGGGACCTAGAACCACTAGGTGAGGTGCAGGGGGAGGCTGAGCA